AGTAGAGACAGGGTTTCACCGTGTTAGCCAGAATGGTCTTGATCTCCTGACTTCGAGATCTGCCTACCTTGGCCTCTCAAAGTGCTGGGATTATAGGCATGGTATAGACCTTGAAGATTGGTAGGGGTTGAGGGGCATGCAGGATACAGAACCTGTGGGCTGCGATAACACCACAGAAAGCAAGTAGAGGGGAGCCTGGAAGGAAGGCTTCCTGAAGGAGGAAGCACACCTGCTTCTTTGCAAACGACCACTGTGGTGAAGTGGTGTGCCCTCACAAAGACTGGCAAGGCCTTGGTGCTGCTGCTAGCTCATCCCTGCAGGTCCCTGCAGACTGGGGAGGAAGGGCTGTCCCCCTCCCTCATGGAGAAGAAAGAGCTCTGGTGCCTCCTATTCTGGACACCGCACCCCTACAACCAGGAAATGGATCCTGGAGAGGAGCATTGCCAGGTGGATGAAGAGTGTAAGGCTCTCATGGCACTGGCCACGGGACAGGCTCCACCTGGGTAGAGGGGATATATATGGGATAGAGCAGGACAGGGGGCCCTTGGAACCTGGAATCCCATGAAGAGACTGAGCTAATTCTTCAGCATTGGAAAGCTGGAAGTTTGAGCTCTGCTGGAACCTAAGGGCCTCTGCTGGTTCACATGCATGCTCAGTGCATTCTTCATTCAGAAGCCATGTGATGAGGTCTCATTTCCCTCGGGTGCGATCTCATGGCACCTGAGCGAAATCCAAGCATGGGCCTCTGATTTGCCCTCCCACCTCCTGGTCTCACTTCTCCTGCCCTCCCGCCCCCGCGACACTGGCCTTCCTGCTGGTTCTCAGACACACCAGGCGCTTTCCAGCCTCGGGGTCTTTGTACCCTCTGCTGGAACTCTCACCAGGCTCTTCTGGTGGCCCCTGCTTGCTTTTTCTCCATGTGCCAGCTCACACATTACCTTCTCCTGAGTAGCCATACCCCCACGCTACTGTATCACCCACTCTCACACAGTCTTGTGTGTGGTCTGTCTCCCCCTGCTAGAGGAAGAACAGGGATTTAGTCCATCCTGTTCGCCACTGTGACCCTAGTGTCTAGGATACTGCCTGGCACACAGGAGGAGCTTAACAAATGTTTATTAAAAGAATGAATGGGAGGTGTGTCGCTCTGCTCGGGGTGTGCGGGCGTCCGCCACGGTCTCTGCGCTGGGATGAGCCGGGCTCCCGGTGGAAGCGAGGGAAGCCAGCCGCAGCAGCCATGGCCAGTACAATGGTAGCAGTTGGACTGACCATTGCAGCTGCAGGATTTGCAGGCCGTTATGTTTTGCAAGCCATGAAGCATATGGAGCCTCAAGTAAAACAAGTTTTTCAAAGTCTACCAAAATCTGCCTTCAGTGGTGGCTATTACAGAGGTGGGTTTGAACCCAAAATGACAAAGCGGGAAGCAGCATTAATACTAGGTGTAAGGCCTACTGCCAATAAAGGGAAAATAAGAGATGCTCACCGACAAATTATGCTTTTAAATCATCCTGACAAAGGAGGATCTCCTTATATAGTAGCCAAAATCAATGAAGCTAAAGATCTACTAGAAGGTCAAGCTGGCCGGGTGCGGTGGCTCATGCCTGTAATCCCAGCACTTTGGGAGGCCGAGGCGGGTGGATCACGAGGTCAAGAGATCGAGACCATCCTGGTCAACATGGCGAAACCCCGTCTCTACTAAAAATACAAAAAATTAGCTGGGCATGTTGGCGCATGCCTGTAATCCCAGCTGCTCAGGAGG